GTACTACCAACTGGCGTCAGAAGGCAACTAATCGGGCTGACTGGCGGAGGCTACTCGACGCGGCCAAGGACGACACACGTCTGTAATGGCCAACTAAGTAAGTAAAGCCGTCAAAATAAATTAAATGAATGTATCTATTAATTATTCTTTAATTCTTTAATTATTATTATGTATATATTAATTATTAATGGGCCCTGATAAATAACTTTTCTATTTTGAAAAATTCCATATGCTCTAAAAAATCTTTTCACCCGTAATATGTATATTTTCAAATTATTATTATAGATTTAGTATAGATAAATATTTTAATTTGATTAATATATGATTTATTTCTAAACATATTTTAAATATTTATATATTTAAAAATAAAATTATATAAACTAGTAATATATGCAAGATTAGTGAACGGATACATTTTGACGTCAAAGTTCTGAGAACAATCTATGCTGACAGATAACGCATAAATTAAAAGTATACATCCAGGAGCTAAAAATATTGGTTGAGAACTTTTTATTGTGAAAATATAATATAGATTTTATTAGTTCATAACCTATTATATTACAAATACAAATCTGCACATATAAAAATATTTATAATAATTTCAAAAGTATTTTTTGTAAAAAATTAAAATTAAAATTTAAATTTGACACAATTTTGTACTTTTTTATGCAATCGCAATTAATAATTATTTTTTTCCACTAAAAAAATTTATTTAAAATAATTCATAAGTTATAGTAAGAATATTCATTCTTAAGAAGAATTATCTGCTAACGTCTGCATAATAATTAATTAAACTCACGCGATGTTCTTTAAAGAATAATGAACTATAAATTATAATCTCATCTTTCAAATGAAGTGTCACATAGACAATGAGAACATATACACAACCAGTCTTATTCATTTTTGTAGAAAATAAGACCTCTTAACAATGAATATGCAGTGCAAAACCGTCTTAAGTGACTAGCGATTCAAATGACTATAACCTATAAGTGCTTATTGTATTATCTTCGTTTTTTTAAGATATTACGGGTCATAAATAAAACCTGCAAAATTTATTTGACTTTTATTTATTTTATCATGAAGTTATAAAAAATGTTCAAATATCTGAAAACTAAAGTATTACTAAATTAAAATTAAATAGATATGTAGAAAACAGTTTAATTGAAAAAAGAACGATCTAATATCATAAATAAATATATAATAATATTATATATTTTAGCTTATTTTGTTAATAATAATGACGGCTATATAAATAGATAAATATTTTTATGTATCTTTGTCGTCCACATCAATATATTACCCTTTCTTTTAGTAGAATATTTTCAAGTATTTCCTAGAGATACATTGATACCTATAATGGATACCATAATCAAACAATCACACGGGAATGAAAATATCGTTATCTGTAGTATTTATAATTCCAATATTTGACGTAATATACAGATAACCCTCCAAACCAATACCTTAAAACACAATTTTTGCATTAGAGTATTAACGTTTAACACGTTACTGCGAATTTTGTTTTAATAACACGTTATTGGTACCTCTTATAACACAGCTACATTTTCTGTTTAGGTTTTAAAAATGATATACAACTGAATGAACCTAAATATTATTCTTGTATAAATCATTTTCATGGTACGTAAGAGGAGCGGATATCCACAAAGATCTGAGAGTCGATTCAGTCGACAAATACATTAAAGATCGAGCTCGGAAACTGTTCAATATAATTGACAGTCACAATAATCCAACTCTCATCATCCTAAAAATACAGCGAAATTTGATAAACACAGGCAGATACTAAGACATCAGATCCATCATATTATAAAGCCCCGTTATTCTAAGTGTGACTTAAAACTGTCCACAGATAAAATAGAGTAAATGTGCTGATTCACCAACTCAGACATCTGAATATCAATCATCATTTTCTTAGCTATTATATACACTATATTACGTATTCATAGATGGAATAAAATAAAATAAAATATTCCCCTAAAAACGTTAGGGGAATATCCGAATATGATCCTTATGAAACTTTTTTAAGTGTATATATATATTTTATTATTGAGCTCATTAGTTGAGTTACTATCTTGTTTAAAACACTGAATTCATGAAAAAAATGCTCTATTTTTTTGACTATGCTCAAATATTATACTTCAGGGTCCCAAGCAAGACAATTTTTTACAACACGACATTTTCTAGGATTTATATACCATGTTATAGAGTAAATAGGAGTACTGATCAGATACTTTTATTTCGAAGCACTAAGAAAATTTAAGCTACTAATTAATTACTTTTTTAAGACGGTCTTAGCATGAGATACATGCAGGAGATACATGAAAATAATTAAAATATTATAAATAAAATATGTTGGCATAAGGATTCCAATTATATACTAATATAGTACTAATAAAAAATAGATCGTCTTGTATGACAATATGATAAGTGGTCAAAAATGCAATTTCTAAAGTTATTGATTATAAAAATTAGTGAATTAAAAATGTATACCAATCTGTGCCAAAAAAGGGCAGAAAAAAATAATTAGATGTGAAAATATATTTATATGAGCAAACTAACAATTATATATATTTATTAATGTGCACTTATAAAAATAAAAACCAAGATACGAATAAAAATATTTTTTGTCCTATTGTATTAAGTATTGATTAAAGATACATCATTCTTAGATATTTTTATATAAATATATTTGTATCTATTTATATACACTTACTCATAAATATATTTATTCAATTATATATGTAGAGTAATTAATGACACATGATTTATATTTATATATATAATATATCACACAACAATATGTAATATGTATTTTTAATCAACACAAAAATCAGTTCTACCTTATGTCCCTATTAGAAGGGCATCAAGCTTCCTAAGTTATAAATTTTATATATTTTTTTTAAATCTTTTTAGCTTAACTTTCTTGAGCTTTTTATATTTGCTACTGGGCTTAGGTCGTTTATTTAACATATAAATTTATAAAAATGTTTTTTTAAATAAAATGAAAAATAAAGAGATTTTTACGAACAATAGTGAACTACAATAAAAAAAATTTATAAATTTAAATAAAAAATTATACTTGTTAAACTGTGTTAAATATTTAGTTATATATTAATTTTTATACAAAATTATATATATTACAGATATATCGGAGTACTTCGTAGACTAACTTCTACTCGACCTAAGCCCAGTAACAAATATAAAAAACTAATTGAATATTGGTCGTAATAACAATTTATTAACATCTTATAATAATATTAGAATGTTTTCTTCACTATTGAAATATTTTATTCTAAAAACGTATTTTTTATATTACATATTTAATTATATAAATTTTAAAACTATGATATTATTTCTGAAATTTTAAAAATTTAACTCTACATATAAATTATTAATTTTTTGAATATGTTTATTTTATATATAATTTATGTATTTAATATAACTTTAGTTAGCTTTATATTTTTTATTTTTTATTAAACAAAATACAATAATAAATTTCTCTTTCTTGTTATTATAATAGTTTTTAAATAAAACAATAATTAAAGAAAATTTTTAAATCGATATCTTGAGAAAAAATATATATATATATATATTTCTTTTTATTCATATATAAAATACTTAGTTATTTTCACTGCCTTCACTTTGTTGTTAATGCAACATTAATAATAATATTAATAATAATAATATTATTTTTAATTTTGAATTTGTTGCTTTAAATAAAAAATAAAAATTATATATATATAGAATGTTTTTAATTTCAGTATAAATTACAATATAATTTTTTTTATTTACGCTTTTGCAGAGATTTTAATTTAACTTTAATAACTTTGACACTTTCATGTTGCCACGACATGGAACGAATAGTTTTTTATCATTTCCAATGATTTTGTTGAACGTATATTGTATAATTTATTTATTTATTATAAATTTATTGTTTATATTGTTATTCTTCGGCTATTTTATTTATTTTACCAAAGCATTTCTGTTGGTCAAAAAAAAAATTTTTCTCGTTTTCTCAACCGTAACAAATTTTATGATCAAATACGATTAAGCGTTAAATCATTGAGAACGACTAAGCCAGAATTTATGCGAATTTTGGTTTTTGAACTTCATTTAATAATTTTTAACCCATATCTATAAATATTTCTAAAATTTTTTTTAATTCCGTACAGTGATCGTTGCAGTTTTAAATAGT